GACTTGCTGTGAGATGGTGGTGTAATGGAATATTTCATTGTTGATATTCAGGAAGAGTATGCTAGGGGGAGGAAATGGGTGATCCTGGTGGGACGTATCACATATTTGAAAAATATGGGCCATAGTATTGATAAGGATAGTGAAAAAATACAGGAGTGATAGTAAAAAAAAAACAGTAGAATTGAATAGCTGCTATAGTATGAAAGACAGAGGGCCTCCCTTCTTGCACAAAAAGAATTTTCAATATATAATCTGACAGGAAGGGAACCTGAGGTCAGAGACAATCATCAGGAGAGCCTGAGCTCAAGTAAAATTAAACTCCCAGGCCTGGCAGATGTCTTAAGTCAAGGCCAAGACCTCAGCTGGGAAAAACTGGGATGACAACATATAAGATAGGAATACTTGGCTAATGCTCTGAAGATCTTGATTCCCAGATTCTCTTGAACTTTCTGAACCTGCATTCCTGGCCTGCCAACTACCACCCCCCTCTTTGTTTCTTTTTGTTGTTACTGTTGCAAGGCTAGGGATGGAACCAGGGTTTTAGGCATGTGCTCTACCACTAAGCTACACACTGAACCTCCCTTTCCTGTAGACTGTACAGAGGCCTGTCTCCTGTGAGCCTGTATGAGCCTCCACCTCTGCCCCTGCTCAAATCTATCCTTGCCTCCTGCCACCAGGCTTATAACCAGGGTTAGGTCACTACATAATCCAGTGAATGACATATTGAACCCAATAAAGAAAGAAGGGACTACATTCAGAAGAGTTTCAAGAACTAGTAAATCCTGTAATGGCAGGAGCTGGGAGAACTGCACTCTGAGGGTGCTTGGTTAAGAAGACCACATCACAAAATAAGGGGATAAGGAAGAGTTTATTGAGTGGGGAGCACTTTCCTAAGATACAAGATCCTGCTAAGGAGTCCATAGATTTACTTCTACTCAATGGATCTTTTTTTTTTTTTGTCTTTTTTTTTCCGTTTCGTGTTTATCGGTACCAGGGATCGAACTCACGACTGTCTGATTGCAAGGTAGGCGCTTATGCTGCTGCTGAGCTAAATCCCCGGCCCCTTACTCAATGGATCTTAAAAGGATTAAAAAAAAAAAAACAAAAAACCTCTATCGCACACATGAAGTTTAAAACAAAACACAAAAGCCAGAACTACCAACACAGATGGTTTAGGAATGAGTTTTAAAAGCTCAGAGAAATTGAGTGGAGTGACACACATCTTAATCCCAGCTACTCCAGAGGTTGAGGCAGGGCAAATGCTAAGTCTGAGGCCAGTTTAAGTGACTTAGCAAGGTCCTGTCTCAAAATAAAAAATAAAAAAGATTGAGCCAGGATTGGTGGCACATACCTGTAATCCTAGCATTCCAGGAGGCTGAGGCAGGAGAAATGTTAAGTGTGAGCCCAACCTGGGCAACTTAGAGACTTAGTAAGAAATCTCAAAATTAAAAAGTAAGCTGAGAAAATTGACTCTCTATGAGGTAGGCTGATATCTCTTACCATGTAATAAAATAAAATAAAAATGGATCAAAGATCTAAATATTCAAACAGAAACAGTCTGGTAGGAGATCAAATAGGCAAAGCTCTCAATGACATTAGGCATTGGCGAGGACTTTCTGAATAGAATCCAACTGCATGATAAATAACATTAAAGTCAACAAATGGGATTTTAACAAATTAAAAAGCTTCTGTCCAGTAAAGAAAATAACCAGCAGAGTTAAGAGATGACCTACAAAATGGGGAAAAAGTTTTTTTGTCAGCCATTTCTGACAGAGGACCAACATCTGGAATATATAAAGAACGAAAAAAAAATTAGAGCCCCAAAATAAAAAACCCAATCAAAAATGGACAATGGAAATGAAGACACTCCTCAGAAGTAGTAAAATTAAATACATGAAAAAAATGTTCAATATAGCTGATCACTAGAGAATTAAAACAACATTGAGGTTCCATCTCATTCCAGAAAGAACTGCCATGATCAATAAATCAAATAATAACAAATGCTAATGAGGTTGTGTAGGGAAAAGGAAATTTTTACACTGTTGGCAGGAGTGTAAATTAGCATGCAACCACTATAAAAATTGGTATGGAGAATCCTCTAAAACTAAAAATAGAAATTTCATTTTACCCCTGTGTATGGTGGCCCATGCCTCTAATCCCAACACTCAGGAGCCTGAGGCTGGAGGGTAGCTGCAAATTCATGGTCTGCCCAGGCTACAAAGTAAGTTCAAGGCCAGCATGAACTGCATAGAGAAATCTTGTTTCAAAAAGAAAAAAGAAACAATTTCACTTAGCAATTCCCCTTCTAGATTATCTTTCCAAAAGATATTAAGATATTAAAAACTAGGGGCTGGGGATTTAGCTCAGTGGCATAAGCGCCTGCCTTGCAAGCAGGCAGTCGTGAGTTTGATCCCTGGTACCGATAAAAATGAAAAAAGACCAAAAAAAAAAAAAGATATTAAAAACTTAAAGATTGGGACTGGTGGATATAGCTCACTTGCCTAGCATGTACAAAGGCCTGGGTCCAATGACCAGCACCATAAAAAAAGGGTAAATTTTAGCCGGCTGTGGTGGCTCATGCCTGTAATCCCAGCACTCGGGAGGCAGGAAGATCATTGTGAGTTCCAGACCAGCCTGGGCTACAAAGTGAGCTCAAGGCCTGTCCAAACTGCATAGAGAGACCCTGTCTCAAAAAAAAAAAAAAAAAAAGTAAATTTTTTTAAAAGTTAAAGGCATCATATTACAGTGATACTGGCATACATGTTTACAGCAGCACATCTCATAATAGCTAAATCTTGGAAGCAGCCCAAATGTCCATCAACAGGTGAACAGATAAAAAAATCTATTTGCTTATAATTTTTTTTGAGACAGAGTGTCACTATGTAGTTCAGGCTGGCCTTGAACTCACTGTGTAGACATGGGCTGGCCTTGAACTTGCAGCAGTCTTCCTGCCTTATCCTGTCAAGTGCTGAGTTTACAAGCATGCACCACCACTCCCAGTTTAAATGTGATATGTATTTATACAAAAAGGAACACTACTCTTCTGTGAATAAGGATAAATTTCAATCATCTGTAGGAAAATAGATGCCCTTGAGACTGTAATATTAGGTAAAATAAATCAGACACAGAGCTTAAATATTACATGGCTTCTCTTATATGAAAAATCTAAAGTATATATAAATTAAAGAGTAAAATAGGCCTGGGATTTAGCTCAGTGGCATAAGTGCCTGCTTGGCAAATGTGAGGTCATGAGTTCAATCCCCAGCACAAAAAAAAAAAAAAAATTGCTAAGGGGCCGGGGATTTAGCTCAGCGGCATAAGTGCCTGCCTTGCAAACAGGCAGTCGTGAGTTCCATCCCTGGTACCGATAAAAACGAAAAAAAGACAAAAAAAAAAATTTAAAAAAAGAGTAAAATAAATGCCTATAATTCCAAACTGTGTAACATAGACTACAAAGGGAAACCCTGTCTCAAAAAACAAAACACTAAAATAAAATATATATAGTAGATAACTTGGAGATAAATATTTTGCAAATGAGAAGAAGACCAAGAGACGCAAGGTGAGTAGGAAAGGAAAAAAGATGTAAAAAGAATTAGGATGTGTAGCCGGGCGTGGTGGCTCATGCCTGTAATCCCAGCACTGGGGAGGCTGAGGCAGGAGGCTCCTTTCAAGTTCAAGACCAGCCTAGGCTACAAAGTGAGCTCAAGGCCAGCCTGAACTGCACAGGGAGACCCTGTCTCAAAAAGACAAAAAAAAAAAAAAAAAAAAGGATTAGGATGTGTTAAGGATAAGTACCAACTCCTCATGAGGAGTGTAATCAATATGAACTGCAAATACGTACTAATACATGCAATAGGGGCTGGAGATTTAGCTCAGCGGCATAAGCGCCTGCCTTGCAAGCAGGCAGTTGTGAGTTTGATCCCCGGTACCAATAAAAAGGAAAAAGACAAAAAAAAAAAAATACATGCAATAAAAATCATAAAGAAAATCAAAACAAAAAATAAAAAAGTTAGGGATGTAGTTCAGTAGGAAGATCTTGGGTTCAATCCCGAGTAGTAACTCACTTAGAGAAGTGAGCAACTGTAATGGATGGAAGCGGTCAATACACAATTTCAACATTATTCCTACTTGGAGCCTTGCCTTTCCTGCTTGAACGAATCCAAACCCTGTGGGTTCGACCTTCCAAATTATCAACAATCCATTCACTTCTCTCCATTTCTACTGTCTTTCTTAATTCGGGACATCATTATTTCTTGCTCTTAAGACATCTGACAGCCCAAGTGGTCTCCTTCGCTTTAATCTCTTGTTGTTCTAATACATTAGTCCCAAGGTGGCCAGGGTAATCCTTTTAAATTTTTTAATTACATCGTTCCTGAATTTTAAATATCTAAATACTAAAGTTCAAACTCCTTAATAAGTTTACTAAGCTCTCAATAATGTGGCTGCTGCGACTTCCCCAGTCTCATCAACTCACTCCATACTACACAGGATGCTCCAGCTACAACGAATTTGGTTCCCTGACCAATCATCAATCCGATGCTCTCTCCGGGTTTATTTTTTAGGGCTGGTGATCGAACTAACCTCCCTTATCAGTGAGCTTTTCTCCACGCTGTTTTCTACTGGGAAAACCCTTGCACACTTTTTTTGGGCATCTCAAATGCATTGTTACGGCCCCAGCTCAGCTGTCACTTGCACAACTCAGGTAGGCAGGCCCCATCCTTCAATGATGCCCCCAGCAAGGTTCGGTGACAGGTGTCTTCCACGTGGACAGTCCTTGAGGTTGGTCGCCACACTCTGTCGGTCTCGGGCATCTGAAGATACCTGGAGCTCCTCAGAGCAGACCCAGGGTGTCTCAGCCGCAGTCCGGGACTCGCCGGGAGCCTACCTAACGACACTTCCGGGGCTGGGAACCCCGGGCGCGTGGCCCAGCCCCACGCTACGACGGGGGTGGAGCAGGGCGGAGCGCCCAGCGAACTGCTGGCGGCGGGCAGGGGGCGGAGCCAGGGGCGGAGCGGAGCGCGCATGCGCGGTCGCCTTTGTGTGGGTCGAGCGGCGGCGGTGGCGGCGGCAGTGGCGGTCCCACTGGCAGGCGGGCAAGAGGGGAGTCCGGGCGGCGTCCGGCGTGGGAGCCAGGGGACCACCATGGTCAAGAAACGGAAAGGCCGCGTTGTGATCGACTCAGACACGGAGGACAGCGGCAGCGATGAGAACCTGGATCAGGTGGGGGCCAGGCCGCGGAGGCGCGGGCCGGCAGAGCGGGAGGCTGAGTCCGGGCCGCGGGACCGGAGCCGGCCGGGCCCGGAGCCCTCTGGCCTGAGCGCCCGGCCGGGTCCGCGCCCTGGCCTTTGCCACAGCTGCCTTCTTGTCTTCCCCTTGCCATCCGAGGCCGTCGGAGCCCGGGCCCAGCCTGGAGACGGATCCTGGAGGACTTGGCGCCTTGGGCCGGGAGGCGGGGCAGGGACCGCACTGATGGGCCTCGGCCCTGGGGTCCCGGAGGGGCCGCGATCTGCTGGGCCAGCTCCTTGCGGCGGGCCGCAGGCCTGGAGATCCAGGCCCTGAAAGGTAGGAAGTGTCGCCCACCAACTGTGGAGGCCGGGAGGACTTGGAGGTGATGCAGGGGTGAGCTGGGGCCTTGGGAGGGCGAGAACCCAGAAGGATGAAGTTTTTAGACTAGGTGTGTACAGGGAGGAAGGCAATCGTAAGTGTTCCGAGGAGCTCCTGCCATGCTGTGTGGGCACGAGTGTCTTTGGCGACTAGGGTCGTTTGTGGTTGAGATGGGTTCCCGTTGGGACGTCAGGCCAAAACACATACGCAGTCTCTTGCAAGGAGGAAAGGAGGCAGATACTGGAGGAACTGTGGGGCGGCTTGGGGGGATTGGAGTCCTGGCCGCTGGACCTTTTTGATGCAACATCCTGGAATTCATTCTCGTTTGAAGATTGTGCAGGGAGCAGTGAAAGTAACTTAGGGCCTTAGTATCCTGGGATAGCTTGATATGTGTATATACTTTAAAAATTAGTGTAGGTAGGAAGCTGTCCTCTGTAACAGTACTCCAATGATACTAGGAGATATAAAGGTGATTTCTTAAGTATTTAATAAGAAATGATACAAAGAAAAAATATATGAGATTTAGTAACTTTATAAGTTGGATTGAAAGAGTATTGAATTCAGAATCTGAAAATTAGGGTGCTAAACTGGGCTTATGCTGCTTTCCAGCTATGTATATTGGATCTTAGATGTAAAATTAGATAAAGCATTAGCCTTCTGTATCTAATTGGACAATTGAAAGGATCAAACGTTTGTAAGAATAAATGCCACAAGCATTTACAACCTATAAAGCTTTGTATAAATGGCTTCTTCATGGTTTTTATACTAGGCCAGAGGTCTCAGACCTAAGTATTAGGACATGAAAAGGGAGAATTATTAAAGAAAGAAGTACTGGGAAAGTGTTAAAGAAGACCTTTCTAAAAATGGCGGTAGGGCCAGTGGAAGACTTTCAAGAGATAGAAACTTTGTTTTGGGATAGAAATTAAAAGACTAAGTTGAAAATATTCTGTTGAAAGGCTTCTGAAATTTACAACAATATAGTCTTACTTTCTTTTGTGTTTTCAGACTGGGTCTTGCTATGTAGTTCAGGCTGCCCTTAAACTAGGTTGCCCAGGCTGGCCTTGAACTCGTGTCAGACTCCCTGTTAGCCCTGTTAGGAGCAATCTTCCTGTCAATGTTGGGATTTTAGTGTGCACCCCATGCCTCTGTGTGTGTGTGTGTGTGTGTGTGTGTGTGTGTGTAAAATGTTTATTTTTGAGACAGGGTCTCACCGTGAAGTTTAGTCTGCCCTTAAATTCACATAGCCTAGGCTGACATCAGACTTTGGGCAGTTCTCTTTCCTCTGCTTCCCAAGTGCTGAAATTACATGCATGCATAACTATACCCAGCCAAAAGTATATTCTTGATTGTAAAAGTTTCTTTGATAAGGTAATTTTATTTATTTATTTTTGGTACTGGAAATTGAATTCAGGACCTTGCAGTTGCCAGGCAGGAACCGTACTACTAAGCTATATCCCTGGCTCTTGATAAGGTAATTTTAGACTGGCGGGGAGAATTTTAGACTGGTAAGAAGATTGGAATAGTTTCTTGGTGTTTTGTTTTGTTGTCTCACTGTATAATTCAGGCTGTCCTTGAACTCACTATGTAGTCCAGGTTGGCCTCAACTACTGGCCTTAGACTCTTGATGATCCATCCTGCTTCAGCCTCCTGAGTGCTGAGATTACAGGCATGTGCCATCACATCAGCTTGGAATCCAGTGTTTACTATACTTTGATATATAGGGGTAAGTGTTTCTGATAGCATCAGCTGTCATTTACATAGTGCTTGGGGTGAACTTAACACCTTAATTAAGTGCTTTATTTATACTGTCAAGTTTTCAAATGATGGTGAAGTTGGAATCATTTCCCTGTTTTACACAGCGGAAAATGGAAATTAAGGAAAATTTTAGTATAGTAAGTGATGGAATTTAACCCAAATCTGCACAAGTAAAAGACGTGTGCTCTTTTTTTTTTTTTTCTTTACCAAGTTTAGTCTGCTAGCCTCTAACTTTTTTGGGGGGGGAGGGGATCAAACTCACGACTGCCTGCTTGCAAGGCAGGTGCTTGTGCCGCTAAGCTAAATCCCCAGCCCCTTTAGCCTCTAACTTTTTTAGACTGCAAAATGAGAATAATGCCTCATGCGCATTTTCCATGTTGCTAGAATTTGTATTTTAAAGTACAGTGAACAGTTGAGAAGAAAGCGGGACATCATTTAAAAAGATTATTTGGGACTTTGATAAAACACTCTGAAGACATCTCTTCCTAATGTGAACAAACTAAGCTGCAAATAATTTGCCTTTAGTTCCAGATTGCTGAAGAGTGAAATGGATGGAGTCCTTTTGTAGGTGGTAGAGATATTTTACTTGAACTACAAGAGATTTTCCAAAGTGGGAACAATAGGGGATTGCAGCTTTAATCTAATTCTAAATATATATTCATAAAGAGAAATTAATATTAAATTTGTAAGTACTCTAGTTCCAGTCCATTTTAATAGCAATTTCAAGTTTTCTTCAACTATTTGGTGGCACACTTTCTTTGAGAAAGGGTCTCACTAGGTTTAGTTCAAGCTGGCCTTGAATTTGCTGTGTAGCTCAGGTTGTCCTCCAACTTGCAATCCTCCTGCCTCAGCCTTCTGAATACCAGGATTACAGACATGCATCGGTATGCCTGGCTTCAGTGATACTCTCGTTATCAAATCAAAGGTCCCTCTCCTTGTACAACTTCATAGGGACCTCAGTGTGTTCTGTTGTCTGTTCAGTACAATACCAGGTTCTTAGAGGAATCAAAAAGCAAGATCTCTGCTCTCTTGATGTGTTCACCAGAGGCCATTAGCAGAAGTTCACTGTCAGCATAACTTTAGGATCTTTGGAATTGTCAGAATACTCAATACATTCTGGGTTTTTCTGACCAAGATTCCTTGGGCTGCTCTATCAGGTTCTGAGTCTTTGTTGAGGTTTATATTGAACTTGGTGACTGGGAGTGTGTGGTCCTTGTGGAAAGAGCAAACCATCGACAGGTATCCAGTGTGAAAGTGACACCATTTAATAACTCAGGCACCTTGGATGCCCTTTTTCCAGATGGGCATCCAAGCCATTATGTCAGAAATCCAACTTAGTCCTTATTAGGGATGAGAAGGGTGAGCCTTCTGGCCTAGTTTTTCCCTGTGGATGGGGAAGGACCCTAGTGGCAGAGGCTGCTTAGATTGCTTATTTAAATGTAGGCTAGGAAGGTGAGGTCTGTGGCTCCTCTATCAGACCTCCAGAATCGGACCTCAGAGGATAGAGAGCCTTGACCTTAGCATTTGTAACAGGTCCAGCCCAGGTATTATGACTGATGTTGATCACTGAGGCTACAATCTGTATGCAGGCTACAATCTGTAAGACATTCTAGGTATTTTAAAGGGAGAGAAAAATAGCTTCTCATCTGTCATAGTACGTCCCATTTAAGGGCACATGCATAACCAGTAAGCCACAGGGATGCTTAAAGGGGTAAAATGCTGGTTCTGAATCTCTGGAACAATTTAACCTGTGGGATGCTTTTTATTTTTATTTTTTTTTTTGGTACTAGGATCAAATCTATCACCTCTTTCATGTTGAGAACATGCTCTGTGTCTCAGCTGTCAGCCCCTAAAGATGTTTTTTAAAGTTATTATCATTATCATTATTGTTGTTGTTGTTTTAGAAACCAGAGCTTGCCATGTAGCTCAGGCTGGCCTTGAACTCACTATGTAGCCCATAGCTCCCAGCAGTTCTTCTGCCTAGGCCTCTTAAGCAGTGAGATTACAAGCAAACGCCACTATGCCCTGCTTGTTCTTTTTTTTTTCTTCTTCTTCTTTTTATTTGGAAGAAATATATAGTTAACTTGGAGTAGTTGAAATGTGTCTTAATTCTCAAAAGTTTTTAAACTCCAATTTTTAAAAAAAATTTTTTTTGAGACAGAGTCTTATTCTTATATAGTTCAGGCAGGCCTCAAACTCAAAGTGATCCAACTGCCTCAGCCTCCCATGTAAACACAGACCTTAATTCAAGAATTGGAAGGATTTTATTTTAGCATATGACATGTTTTTATATCACCCATGCTTCAACACTTTTAGATTGCAAAGTATTTACCATTGTTGCCTATTGAGAATAAGCATAATCTCAAGAGTCTGAGGCTTTACCTTACCGTGTCTTGGATTGAGATAATGTGTCACTCTTTATGCAGTGCATCCTATAGAATGAAAAGTGCCGAGTGTGGTGGTCATGTTCGCCTGTAATTTCAATGCTCAGGAGGATTGCTGCAAGTTCAAGGCCAGCCTGGGCTACATAGTAAGTTCCAGGCCAGTCTGTATTATATAGTGAGACCCTGTTTTAAAAAAAAAAAAAAAAAGTGCTTGAGGTCATAAAGGAAACAGTTCAGTATATATAAAAATTTACTCATAAAAAAATTGAGCAGTATGTACACTGGAATGCTTTATTTTATTTGTGTTTTAGAAATTTTATTGGTATATTTGTCACAGCAAATTTGTATCTACATATGATATATTTTGTTTTTTCCCCCTATTTCTCGCCCTTCCCTTCATTCCCTCTTGCTCTTATTTACAAAAGCTTTGTTTCCTTTTTTTTTTTAACATCTTCAGAAGGCATAGTATTTGTTTCC